TATTATTATTATTATTATTTCATGAAGCATTAAGTGCTTTCCTGCCACACTACTTTTTCACCTTTTATTTCTGTTCATGGAGTTCTCTTCTCTTTGTCTTCACCTAGTTAGCTCCTAACCATTCTTCATATCTCAGCTCTACTCTTAATTCCCTAGGAAAATATTCTCAAATCTTCTATCTAGGTCAAATTCTTCTGCTATGTCCTCTGAGTGATCCATGAACATCCCTACTCATAATATTTAGCACATTATAATTTCAAAAATTTATATTACTATTTGATTAATAGGTGTTTCTCCCTAAACTGGAGTATGCATAAAGAATAGTGATCATGTCAATTTTGCACAATATGTATCCCTAATTCTGAACACCCTTGACCCAAGAAGGTTGGTCTTCAAAAAATCTTAAAGGAAGGAAGGAAGGAAGGAAGGAAGGAAGGAAGGAAGGAAGGAAGGAAGGAAAGAAGGAAGGAAGGAAAGAAGGAAGGAAGGGGAGTTTGTGCCTACAAATTGGCATGCAAGGTTTTATCAGAAGTTTTCTGATAATAACGGTGTTTTTTGGAGTATGGATACATGTTAAAATGTAGAGTATAGAGAACATAAGAAAATATATTTTAATTTAGTTGAGTTTATAAAGAGATTTTACGTTAAACCATGATAAGTAATTTAGAAAAAAATCCTAAGATAGGAAAGTAAAACTTTTTCAATTGTACATATTGTATTTTGAAGCTTTTGTTATTGACAATAGACTGGGTTTAAATACTTGAGACATTAAATATTTCACATATTTTCCATTGAGTATAACCATTTTTCCTATAAAGCTTCCTAAGAAGACTTTCATTAAAATGCTACACTTCAGTAACTAGAACATTAATAACAGGTGACTATATCTTTTCATTATCTATTTTAGTTTCACAAAATTAGTAAAAATGTTATATTTGAATAATACTCAATTTTGGTGGATGGTAATGAAATTAGAATTTAACCTGTGACTTCATTTTTCTTCATTATGATTAAATAACGTGTTAAAAATAAATGTTATTCAAATTCATTATATAAAGTGAGTTTTGTTTAGATTTGAAACTTGCAAAATTAGATGGATGGGATAAATTTATTAAAGAGATTAATGGGATTTGCGTTGGCCAACAAAATGGATGATACATTCATACAATTTTCCAATTGCTCAGTAAACATCTACAAAATTCATCTATATATGTATGTATGTATGTATGTATGTGTGTCTACTATGTGCTATGACATAGACTAGACTATGCAACGCTAGAGATATAGGCCCTGCTCTCACAAAGCTAACAGTTTCGTGAAACAAATGTAAAAATTCACAATAGCTAATAATGAGTATGAAGATAAAGCACCACAAGTGTATATGGAAGAGATTCCAGTCTTTGAATTTCAAACTAATATTCATCAAAGGAAAGATAGTAAGAGAAAAAAGAACTGATAGAAAAAGATTATACTGAATGTAGCAGTAATGAAAGCAGCCAAATCTGGTTTTGGGGAACATTAGGGAAAATATTTTTAAATGAATGGTATGTGGAGTAAATGGATAGTAGTTTCTTTGGCACTAATGTATGGTTGAAGGAGAAAACTAGTGAGAGATGAAGCTGGAAATTTAAAAATAGAACCAGATATTGGCTTTGATTTACAAATTAGATGAATAAGTTGTGGAGATCTAATGTACAGCATGGTGACTCTAATTAATATTATAATAACTGTATTGTATACTTGAAATTTGCTTAGAGAGTAGATCTGAAATGTTTTTACTACACAAAGAATGACAACTATGTGAGGTGCTCGCTATGTAAATTAGTTTGATTGTGGTAATCATTTTACAATAAATATGTATATCAAAACATCACAAAACAGCCTTCACTGTAAATATATACATTTTTTGTCAGTTATGCCTCAGTAAAACTAAAGAAAAGATACCAAGTTATCAGCAAAGAATGTTAATGGAGAGGAAGTAATGTGGTATGATTGCATGAAATAGCCACATAGGAGAGGAAATGGCACACATATACATACACAAACACTTACAAATATACATATTCACTAAATACGTCTTTATATGCACATTTATACATAAACATATATAGAGATCAGTGAAGAAAATATTCAATTATATATGTATGTATACATACACTCAAATATATATTATTGTGTACATATGTATTATATATATGCAAATATATGTCATATCTATATCTATCTATCTATCTATATACATATATATATATATATATATATATATATACATATATATGCTCAATAATTGTGTTTCCCTGGTAGCACTTTTCATTCTATTCTAAGAAAGTCAGCAAAGACCTTCAAATGGATAATTTCCAAATGTAGGACAAGGTGCTTTTGTAGTGATCAATATTATTTATCTACACATCTGTTGTTCCCCTTGGTTCCTAACTGTTGGAAAACCAATTTCATTTAAATTCAGGAACCAGAGGGTAGACCGAGAAGAGCAGTGTGCTCTTGCAACTGCTCTGAGGTACGAATCGCGATTGTTCAAAAGTCCGAGTGATAATACCATTTTGCTTTTCCAGAAATCGAGTCAGTGTGTCCATATGACCCAGTTTTGGCCAATAACAATTTGGAAGTCTGTCTAGAGAATAATTTGCTTGCCTTAGAAAATTATCTTACAGAAAAATATTTCTTTATCCTCCTTCCCATTTGGAATATCATTACATGAGAATAGGATATTTAGATCTTTGCATACATCTTCCAACATGATAAAAAGAGCAAAATGAATTGCAAAGATGTCAACCCAGAGTTCTACAATCATCAAGCAACTAAATGAATTTTGGGATTATCTCTATTCAAGCTTTATGAGGCAAATGTTATAAAATATCATGACTTAAACTAAGCTAATTCAGCTTTCCTTTTATTTGGAGACAAACATATTCTTACTGGCATTCTGCCTATAAGACTTGTTTATAGCAAGGCAAAGGGCCAAGAAATGGGATAACCCCTCTTCCGCTCTTTGAAAATCTAAGTTATCCATTAGAAAGCCTAGAAGAACTTCACTGTTCTAGAATGATTTGGTTGTTTGTTTTGGGAGAGCATACAATGTTGAGTAAAAGGACATTCATAGAAAAAAAAGGAGATGAATAGGAAAAGATAAACCAGTTTAAGGTGAGGGTTAAAAGCAGAAATGAAAAAAATGTAAATACTACATTTACATTTAAATATAGAAAACAAGACTGATATTTCTAAGCTAAACGAAAATCATAAATGAAGTAGAAATCAGGAAGTAGAAACTAAGGGTGGAGAATCTCAGTAATCTAAAATATCTGTAACATTCCCTTTAAAAATAAATGTGTTATTCCCTGACCACTTCTTGATAATGATCAGATTTTTACTTGCAGGACGGAGTAGTAGGGGAGTAGTAGGTTATTTTTAGAGCCAGCAGGACAAATTGAGCCAGTCTTGACAAAAGGGATCCTCAAAGAATATAGAAAGTAATGGTTGCTTGGGGGCAGGGGGAAGGGCAGTTTTGGCAAAGAAATAAGGGAGGATGTGTAGCCACCTTGGGGCTGAGAAGTAGCCCTTGGGTTTACTGGTACACAAATCTAAAAGATCAGGGAACGCAAAGGCAAATGGCTCCCTGAAGCCTATGAAGGTTACAGAGAGCTGAAGGCTACAGCAAGCTAAAAACCATTTATGAATGATCAGCAATGCCCTTGCAAAAGACACACTAATTGATGGGGGAGTAAGTAAATTGTAATGCGCTTCTTCTGACAGTATGGCATCTGATGAGCCAGTGAGCACCAAAACAAGTTAAAGGTCAATAAAATTTCAGTGCAATCCACCAGTCATACAAATGTCAGATTTGGAAGACGAATGCTGTACCTTTAAATGAAGGGCCAAGGAAAACTCTATGAAATCGAAGTGCTTGAGTGTGATCTGTAAACTGGCCTAAATGCAATACGCGGACCTTATATTATTACAAGAATCAAAATATTTTGAGGATGTGTTATGTAAGTGCTAAGCAATATCAATAATACTGAAACTCTGAAAGATCTTCTTTAACAAAGGTAATCAAGTAGAGGTCTTAAAAATCCCACAGAAGAGCCCATTTAGAACAAGTTAACGTAACTATATACATACTGGTGTATTTTTAATTTGATATTAATACCCTTTAGGGACTACCAAGTAAAAAGAAGATTCCATAAAGGAAGTGGGTTTTATGGGGGGCTTTGAAGGATTATGGCTAGAACTGCATGTAGAGATAGACATATGTGTGGGCCTTAGTTTCGCATAGTGCATCGACCTGACTGTTAGCTAAAAACAAGATACTCCACAAAAGCAAAATGTTGCCTCCACTTGAGTGTACTGCCAGGCTCTTGTTCTTAGAAAATGCAAAAACCGGTTTCATTTTTACTCTTACACATGTTCCCTTCAAAAAGGTCTCTCTACTAAGTGATTCTTGCATACTGTCAACCTGTTGAGAAAATGAAATGGTATGTTAGCTCTCTGTTCTTTGATTGCATCGCTCATTGGTTCTAATGTTTGGGACTTCTTCTAGATGTGGAATATCGTAGGGCTTTATTTGAGTAATCGCCTTTCTCAGAAATGTTTATGGGTATCCTGGCTTTGAATTGATAGCATCTGAGCTGGCAACTTTATTCTTCATCTTGAAGCAAACCTCAGTACCAGCCTTCGCTACCAGGCCAACCTCTAATGTCCCTCTAACATGGACCTTGCAGCCTCAGTCTGTTATATTCAGCACACTCTATGTACTCACTCTCCATTGCAGAAGGATTTTGTTGATCTCTAATTTATAATCTGTACTTCATTTGTGCTGGGTACTTACACCCAGCTTTGCTTTTCCTAGTTCTCTTACTCGAGAACATCAAATGTTCCGATCCTTAAGAACTGGCTTGGTACTTCTACCTGGAGCATTTTATGTAACTTTCTAACAAATGGCTGCTTTGACTTCATTTCAGGCTCATATACTTTTATTTATCTCTCAGCAAGTTATATCTTTGGACACTGTGATCTGGAAGGAAGACCATCCCACACAACCAGGTTGGGTTACCTCAGGGTCAGCCGTAATCACTCTCAGGTTATGGTTTTCTTAATATGGAATGCCTCACCAATTGTGTCATCCTTGCATAGGGCCACACTAATCTGCGTGTCTTTCTAATTTTAGCATATGTGCTGCCAAAGTGAGCATCATTCTCAAATTACAGTTATCCCTCAGTATCCACGGGGAATTGATTCCAGGGCCCACAAATACCAAAATTTGTGGGCACTCAAATCCCTTATGTAAAATGGTGTAGTATTTGCAGATAACAGCCTATGCACATCCTCCCGTATAATTTAAATAATCTCTAGGTGTCTTATGGTACCTAATACAATGTAAATGCTAGGTAAGTAGCTGATGCACTGTGTTATTTCGGATCCACTTTGTGGAGTTGTTTTCCATCCATAGTTGGGCGAATCCATGGATGTGGAGGGCCAGCTGACTTCTGTTTCCATACTGTTTTGCCTTACAGGTGAGGCACATATAACATAATAATATGTCTCCAGTATTCAGAAACACTTGGACCGTATTGTTTTGGTGAGTCTTTGCCCTGTACTATTATGTAATTTATCTGTTAGTAATATATTGTCTCCATCTTGGGTTTCTCTAAGGTAGAGGTAGCTTTTTCCTTTACTCTCCTCATTTCATAACAGACAATGTGATATTTAATAAACTACTAAATGGATTTATGTCTGAAGTGTACAGTAATAATTTTAGAAGAAATAAAGTTAAATCCTTGTTATATAAATATGTGGAAACCATAACTATTTATATCTTAAATAATTACTGGTTTTTGATAAGAAATATATATTGTTGTCTTTTTAATTGAATAGCTAGCTGTCTTTTTATCAAATCCTTAACACGTTTGTTTAGTTTCATAACTAAGGGAAAACACCTTATCAGAATTTCACTTCTATATCTTCAGACATTCTCTACGTACATTACATATACATGTGTATATTCTTCATATTCTAGCTTATAATGTGTTTTTAACATAAACATAAAATTCATGTTTTTTTCTATGCCAGCATCTCCACAGCAGAATTTGTAAGCTTTATTTTCAATAAGTCTTTTCTATTTCATGTAACCATTCCCATAATTAACTAATCCCATATTAGTGTGTGTTTAGATTTTTTAATCTTTTCACTTTTCTGAATAGTGTGTTGATGAATGTTATCTAACATGAGCATTGGCCACAGCCTTAGTCTCCTATGATAAACAGCTCTAAATGTATTGTTAGGTAAATGATGTGCATTTAAAAATTTTAATATATATTCCTAAATACATAAATATGCCATCAATTTTAAAATCCTTAATAGTAGTTTATATCTCTTGCTTTCTCTTTCTTAAATGTCAGATATAGACATTTAAGTTGATCAATTCTTCAGTTTATTGCACGCGATTTAACATCGGCCATCAATTATAATTTGTTTGATTTTGCCTTATTTCCCCATCAGCCACATCCTCCAATCCTGTTCCCCTCTGCGTTCCCTTTTGAATGTGACTAATGTACGTCCTTAGATATATGCGCCATTCTAAAATCCCCAGTACCATGTTCCTTTATCTTTGTATACATTTTTGATTTACAAAAATAATGTCCTGCTCTGGAGCTCATTAAATTTCTTATTCCTCTCAACAGTATGTTGTCACTGGTACTGGCACTTTTGAGAGTACACTGAGTTCATGCTGTTAACTCTACATCCTTCACATTTGCGTCTCTGGTTCCTTTAGTGAGGGGAACCTGGTTGTCTCCAACTCCATAAGTGATGCATTAAATGTACACACTTATATTTTTAACAGACTAGTGCAAACTTTTGTTTTCCCCAGACAGATGCCCACAATAGGGTCTGTAGATGTATTAGCAATTTGATTTGTAGTGTCTGGTGGATCTGATGGCCCCATGGCAGTGCGTCTTGTAGGTGGCCTGCGCTTGTGCACAGGTTTCTCTTGTTCTCGGCCCCTATCCAAACTAGCAGCCTTTCAGGTCACTGGGAAAATGGCCCTGGGCAGCACACCCCAGTGAGGGATATGTGGGCTCCAAAATCCAAAGGGGACCACGAGACATGGTGCCTCTTTTTTTGATGTTGTTATCGAAGGGACAGAGAACTACGTATCCTTCACCTTAGGATAGATATCTCGAGAAGCCTTTCACCACAGGACCCCTGGAAATTTTACTGAGGTGGAAATGCAAACGTCTTAACGATACATCTAGAGGAGTTGCTGCCTCTTGCTCATTAGCTCTAATTCACATAATATCACTATAATAAGCTGGTATAATATCTTGGCAAATGAAAGGTGATCAAGGTCCCTACAGACTAAATTATGAAATAGGCCTGGAGATACCCCTGAGGGAGGACAATGGAGGTGGCCTGCTGGCTTTGCCAGCTGAAAACAAACTGTGCCTTGTGATCTTTATTAGCATGCATCGAAAAGAAAACATTTGCCAGATCAATATATGCCTTCTAGGGGATGTGTTAATTCACTGAAGCAATGAAATCACATCTGGAACAGCAGCTGCAAGTGGAGTCACCATTTGGCTAATTTACAAAAATCCACTGTCATTCTCTAAGATCTATT